TCAAGATTATTGTAACAAATGAATGAGATCTTGTGAGCATAATATAAAAATTAAAATTTTAATAAAGAAATGAATCAAAACGGTGGCCCATATTTTTCCAATTTTTGTTTGTCAACATACTTGACTTCTAATATCTCAAAGCTTGTCAAGATGATTGTGGGACATATTGTTGCCCGAATAAAATGTGTATTACTTAGGATGTGTAAATCGGACGTTAGAATAGTCCAGAGCATTGACTCCCAAAGTGGTCTATATCGACCCCTAGGGGTCTATGACAACCTGCAAAAATTTGGGGGTCCATGAAATGAATATGGGGGTCCACGATAGTGGATCTCAACACATACACTGATAGTTCCTATTTACTTACATCATACTATCTTATAATATCAAAACATATACATTATTTATAAAAGTACCTATGAAGTAAAAAATGTATTATATATGTTTATAAAATTGTGTAAGTTGTAGGATGTTGGTATTCGCTTTGTGGTCGCAATACATTTTGAACTTGTAAAAACCTGAGAGTCGCAGTCTCAGAGCTTCGCTACCTTGCACTGACTTGTTCAATTCGTCACTCTATAAATAAGAATGTGGGACAAATACGTTTATTCGTTAGCTGAATCTTGAAAAGGAAAGTGCTAAGAAAATATTTTAGAAAATATAAACAGATAGTATATCACACAAATTATAGCGGGTCAGTGTTATTTTGTTTGAGAGTGCTGGAGAAAAGTAAGTACATTATTTTTTACTAAATTTTAGTTTTGTACTCGTAGTTAGCAAAGATAGATAAATTACGCCAATCATGACTTTATTTATTAGTAGTTAAATATTCAATCATGAAAAATTTCACGAGTACTCCTCAATAGTTTCTTTTTGAAAGTTTTAGCAATCGGTAATATAATTACAGTGCAATCTCCGTAATTCGAGCTAATTTTTGCAAGAAGATGTTCGAATTATGGAATGTTTTCGGAAAAATCAAAAAATATTTTTAATATACAGCTACTGGATTTTCTGTCTTATTTAAATAATTCAATTTTGCCCACAGATGACTGATGCCATGTCCGAATCTGAAAAGAAATGTAGACAGTACAGTGTTGATGATTTGAAATTTGGCTTCATTCCATCATTCCCGGACAAACAATCGCCTAGGTGCCTTTTATACAACAAAATTTTGGGCCATGACGCTATGAAACCATCTATGCTGCAAGATCATTTGAGAAGATGCCACCCTGATAAAGCAGAGCAAGATTTGAAATACTTACAAACACTCACAGATAAATTTCAGAAGAGACCTACACTGGACAGAATGTTCACTTCGACGTCACAAAGAAATGATGATGGTTTGCGGGCGTCTTAGAATATCTCGTTACTTATAGCAAAATTCGGAAAACCGCATACTAGAGAAGTTAATTTTGCCAGCCGTTGAAGAGGTTTTAAAAACTGTTTTACACAAACGTGCATCTGATATCATTAAAAGAATTCCCTTGAGCAACAATACTGTTGAAAGACGTATTGATGAAATGAGTTCTGATATTGAAAGCTTCTTATGTAATTATTTGCAAAGGACCCATTTCTCTATACAACTGCACGAGTCAACTTTACCTGATAATGCAGCATTATTATTGGCATATGTTCGTTTTATTATGAATCTTCGCAAGAACTTTGATAACCGACACTAAAGGTAAATCAATATTTCATGCTTTGAAGGATTACTTCATTGAAAAAGCAATTTTTTATCAAATGTAATATCAGTAGCTACAGATGGAGCACCTGCCATGGTTTTTTTTTTTTTTTTTGGTGAGGGGTGGAATGCATTTACGCACCATACCATAGCCCGAGCTACGGCGTGTGTGGGACTCCAGGGTCTTGAGGAGATCACCTAATACCCACTAAACCCTAAACCTCCGCGTGGCCTGACTCATCAGCGTCTCGGCAGGCCATATGTTGTGCGTGACCTGCGGTCTGCTACAACGTCTCCTCATTTGTTTCAGTCTCTGGGAACGCCGGGTTGGTTCCCTTTACCTCGCACATTCTATCGATGTCGTTAAGCGATCATCGATAGAGGGTCTGCTGGTTCTCTTGAAACTCTTGTTTTCGAAAAATCAAGAGTTTCAAGTCCTCTTACCAATATGTTGTTCCTGGTCCTGGTCCTGAAGGGTCCTGGTCCTGGTGGGTCCTGGTCCTGGTGGGTCCTGGTCGTGGCGGGTCCTGGTCCGGGTTGGTCCTGGTCCCGGTGGTTCCTGGTCCTCTGCATCCACGCCGTGGGGGTGGGGGGGGAGCAACCGCGAGTTCTCCTAGTCTCCTAGTCAAGGTTCCAGTTAGCGGGTGCCAACTGGGACCTTGGTCTGGGGTACCTGGTTCTGCGGTTGCGAGGCCTCTCGTCCGGATCGTAGTTCATGAGGAATCGTAGCTGCTCGTTCGGGTGGTCCTGAGCTTTCTCGAAGGTCTTCTCCGCTTTTTTCCTCATGTACTCGTAGATGGTGTCCCAATGCAGGTCTCTACGCAAGGTTGAGTTTCTTACGTAGGATGGTGCACTGGTGGCGATCCGGAGTAGCTTCATCTCTAGAGCAGCAAGTCGCTTGCGGTAGCTGGGGGCAGCGTACCCCCAGACCGCGGAGGCGTAAGCGAGCTGAGGTCTGGCGATGGCCGATCAGCCGTAGCTTGGTCGCTAGCGGCATCCGGCTGTGTCTACCCAGTAAAGGGTAGAGTTGAGCCATGGCTGCTTTGGTCTTTGCGATGACAGCTTCTATGTGGGCTTTCCAGGTGAGGGACTTGTCAAATACGATCCCCAGATATTTGACTTTGTCGCATCCACTGGATATCTTCGTCGAAGATGGATGCTTCGAGAGGTCTTGCAATCCTTCTTCGTTGAATGAAGATTGCCTGCGTCTTTTGGACGTTGATGCGGATTTTCCATTTCACACACCAGTCCTGGATGTGGTCCAGTTCATCCTGTAGTCTCCTACGGATGATCTCGGGTCGCCTATGCTTGGCGGCTATAGCAGTATCGTCTGCATATAGGGCCAGCATTGTGTCAGCTGTAGAGCAGGGGGGCTAAGGCTGACCCCTGGGGCACGCCTGCTTCCAGCTGTCGTCTTGTTGAATGGCATGTACCAATCTTCACCGTGAACCATCTTTGTGTTAGATAGCTCTGGATCAGTTGGCACATGTTCGCATCGATTCCGGCGGCTTCCATTTTGGCGATGAGTCCATCGTGCCAAACTCGATCGAAGGCTCGTTCCACGTCCAGCAGGACGAGACCGGTTGCCTCCTGGAGATTGAAGCCGCTGGTGATGTTTTCCGTCAGTCGTAGCGCTTGGAGTTCCGTGTTGTGGGAGGATCTGAAGCCGAATTGCTCTGGGGGGAGAAGTTGCAGTTCTTCTGCCTGCTTCTCTAGTCGAACGGCGATAGCCTTTTCGACTACTTTGCCCATCGAGGAAACCAGGCTGATGGGCCGGTAGTTCTGGGGCAACTTCCGGTCCTTGCCTGGCTTGGTGAGCATTATAACCTGGGCTTCCCGCCACCGCTGCGGGAAGTGGTTAAGTTTCAGAGTGGCATTGGCGATGTTGGTGAGCGCAGCAATGCCTTTGGTGGGAAGGTTCTTCAGCATCCTATTGTTGATGCCGTCCCTTCCCGGCGCCTTTCTGACCTTCAACCTGCGGATGATCAGACGGATTTCCTCTGGACTGGAGGGGTGATCCGTCTCCTGGCCAGGTGGTCGACTCCTCATGATTTCGGCTGCGACTTCCACGGTTTCCTCGTGGTTGTCGTCCTCGTCCTCGTGGTAATTGAGTCTGCATTCGGATTCTAGCGAATCGGCGAATGCTTCGGCTTTTTCTTCACTGGAGTAGGCCAAGCCGCGTTGGCCGTGAAGAGTGGGGATCGTGGTGCGCTGACGACGGAATTTTCGCTGCATAGTCCAGGCCGTACCATCCTGGGTCTCTAGTTCTGCACAGGCTGCATTCCATCTGCTGTTTGGGAGTTCCGCGAGTGCGTTCTTCAGAGCCAGCGATGCTCTGTTTCGCGCAACTCTCGACTCCTCTGTCAACAGTTGGAGATGTTCTCGCTTGAGTCTTCTGTTCTCCCTGATCAGGTGCCTAATATGGTGCGGTGCTGGACCATTTAGGTGTCTAGGAACTGCCGTAGACTCGGAGCGGGTGCTGTCCTCGTGCGCTCGCAGGACAGCATTCTCCAGCTCCTCTACTGCGTTGTCCAGTTCCTCCGCTGATCGGATGATTGGAATTTGAGTGATGTTCCTTTGGACGTTGGATTTGTACAGGTTCCAGTTCGTCCGTTTGGTGCTCAAGCTATCTCGAGTTCTAGACCCTGTGCCAAGTGTTAGTAGAATCGGATTGTGGTCCGACGATCCTTCCACCAGGGTCTCTATCTCGAACTCCTCTCTGATGTTGCGGAGGATGGCTATGTCCAGTACCGCAGGTCGCCCAAGGCCGAATGGAATGTAGGTTGGTTGCTCCGGACCGACGATGACCCCCGCCAGGGCATCGACGTGTTCCTGGAGCTGCCTTGCATTCCTGTCTTCGACGTTGTTGTTCCATGCCGGAGACTTGCAGTTTAGATCTCCGATGACTATGCGTGCTCCTGGGCCTCTCAGGAGGTCAGCGATGTCATCATCATCTAGGGCCTCCCCTGGTGGCACATATAGGGAGGTGATTCTGTAGGGACGGTGGTTGTGATGGACCTGGACCGTAATTCCGTCCCCATTGATATCTGCGGCATCGTCGAGGACATGACTCGTCAAGGTACGTTTGACGAGTAATGCGACTCCTCCACCTCTGCCCCTTCTGTCGTAGCGGTACGTCTCGTACCGCGGGAACGTCAGACTATGGGCAGCATAAAATTTCGTTTCTTGGATGGCCATCACCTCTGGTTAGTACTGGTCTAGTATCTCCTGGATTTCTGGTTTCCGTGCCCTGAATCCGTTGATGTTCCAGGAGATAATGCGTAGAGATTCTACGTTTTGCCCTGTAGTCATTTCGGGTCTACTGCTTGTCTTGCATCTTGGCCTCGAGTGCTTTCAAGCGGGTTATGATGGCTTGCATCATTGCCAGCAGTCTGTCATCGCCGTGTTGCTTCTGCGCAGTAGTTCCAGTAGCAGTGGCGGCTGCTGGAGCAGAAGTGGACATAGGTTTCTTCGCTTTTTGAGCGTAAGAGGTCCTATTTGTGGTGGGGGCTGCTTTGGGGGCAGAAGCAGCTTTCTTCGGGGCCTTACTACATACCTTGTAGTTGGCGGGGTGGCCTTCTCCACAAAGGCAACACTTGGCGTTTCGTTGCCCTGTTGGCGGCGCTGGCAGACTGCAGCTGGTGCTGCTGTGGTCCTCTCCACACTTAACGCACCGTTCAGCGAGACGGCAGTTCCACTGTGTGTGCCCGTACCGCTGGCAGCGGTAACATTGGCTGGGCTCGGAAGACTTTTTCTTCCTCTCGAAGCTGACCGTGAGCATGGCCAGCCTCTGGATCTCTGCAAGCTTTTCCGGCATCTTCGTCTTGACGAGGAAGAGCGGAAGTGGCTTCTTGGTGGTCCTTGAGGTCATCTGCTGAACCTCGGCGTCTGCGATGCCTTGGCTCACTAGATCCTCTTTGATGTCATTGACTGACATCTCCCTGGGTAGCCCACGAATGACCCTCTGGTCCATCCTGTCCTCCTTCAGTTGATAGGTGAAGAAGGGCCGCTTGATGGATTCCAGCAATGCGACTAGCTGACGGTAGTCAGCTGGTGTATTTGTGAATACCTTCACACTGTTACCCGCCGTCCTCGCCTTGGAGAATTGAATCCCCTTGCTGTTCATCATCCTGCTTAAGGATGACCAATCTGCGGTGCCCTCGATATTGATTGGCGGAACTCCTGTTCCTGCCATGGAGGCCTCGGTGGTTGCCATGGTTGGACGTTATCGTGGATTTATAAGCTATTTAAAACAAAATGTGTCAGGGGTGTTAGCAATACATTGCGTCATCCATCGACAGCATTTTGTTGCTAAAAATTTGAGTGTTAGATTACATGAATCACTTCGTTTAGTCATTGATGCAGTAAACCGAATCCGAAGCAACGCGTTGAATATGCGGTTATTTGCGCAGTTGTGTGAAGAAAATGACGAACACTTTCATCAATTACTCCTTCACAGTGAAGTACCCTGGCTGTCGAAAGGCAAGATTGACAAGGTTTTTTGCACTTTTTGAGACTATTTTAGAATTTCTGTATACTAAAGGTAAAATTTTAAAAGAAACTTTAATGAAGAGGAAAACAGATATCGTCTATTTAGCAGATTTGTTTACAAAATTTAATATGGTTAATTTGCAATTACAAGGCGACAGTTTAAATTTGATTAAAACAAAGTCCATCTTATGAGCGTTTCTTGCCAGAGTTAAACTAATGAAGCAAAATATTGGACGGGGTTCCCCAATTTGTCACCGGCGGCAAGCTGCCAGGAAGACGACGTTTCAACTTACGTTCAACATTTAAATGCCCTCTATTCAGATTTTGAATCTAGGTATGAGGATATTTTGACTATGGTAATACCACCGTGGATAATTAATCCATATGGTGACATAGACGAAACGAATGTCGTAATACAAGAGGAACTGACTGAACTAAGTACAAACGAAGAACTTAAGGTTCAGTTTAAAAACGGATATCAGCAATTCTGGCTGCAAAACAACATACCCGTTACTTATCCCGTATTATGGAATATAGCGAGGAAATTTTTAATTTCCTTTCCATCCTCATACCTAGTGGAAAGGGAGATCAGCGCTGTTACCAATCTCGTAACGAAAAAAAGAAACAGACTGGACATCATTAGCCGAGGAGATTTAAGATTAACCCGTACAAAATTGACGCCAAATATTATTAAAGCATCAGGTTCATTCTTCTCACTAAAAATATTGACTTATTGCTTATGTTATTTTATTTATAGTTCATTTTATGTTTATTGGTGTCTGACCAATAAATGGTCATTGGGAATAAGTGCCCACATTGATTTTTTTAAAGGATAGGTACACACTAAAGTTCGTTAATTTTTTGCCTATTTTTAGATAACTTAAACGTATAAGAAGCGGAGTTTAATCAAACTAACAGTGAAATTATTGTAGAACGTACGTTTATGTTATAATTAATAAACGAACCCGCTTATTGTAGTATTTTAAGTAAAAAACTTTTTTTTATTATTTTTCACTTTTTTTTATTTTATCCCTCTTATTCTTTTTTCAAAGCGGGCACTTATTCACAATGCGGACACTTATTGGTCAGACACCTGTTTATTTAATGTTACGTATATTTACATAACAGATACAAAATTTTATTTTGAGTAGTTTTAATTTAAATTCAATTAATAAATGTATAAATTAACACGTTCGCTGCCAGACATATTTTTAACATGTGTCCACTACGCCAAACATGTATTTTACATTGAGCACTAGTGGGCCACCATATAAAAAAGACGTTGGTCCCATCGGGGCCACATACCTCATTATGGAAAAATCAAAGAAATTATATGTGCGGCGTATAGCTTCTAGGCCATGTTGGTCCATTTCTGCAGGCGTACATAGGTAAATGAGCACCAACGGCCCAGCAGATATTAGAAAATGCGTTGACCCCATGGGACCAACATAGCCTGGTAAGGCAAAATATATATTGGCCCTATTGGACCAATGTGGCCTGGTGAGGCAACATGAGTGTTGGTCCTAAAGGACCAACGTGGCAGTGAACGTGTTAACATGTGTTTTTACTTCAAGTTTTTAACACTAAGCTTCACTACAGTTAGAAATTTACAGGAAATCAATATCAGGTAAGTAGACCCCCAACACGGAAAAACATGGCAAGGGGTCTACGACACAAAAAAGTTTGGGGAACTCTGGTCTAGAGTACCCCCTGTTCTGACGCCTCTCACCAGCCGTTCCGTCGCCCGGCTGCGGTCGTGATCTGATCACGGGTCATTAAAGTTTTAGATAGTTACGGTATATCCACGAAGTCTCACAACCACATTTGCTTCCCTTTTTGGCATCAAGATCCACTTTTTCAGCAGGAAAATGCACGACCTCACGTTTTAGTTTAGACTTTCTAGAAGGGTCCACAGACCTTTTCCCCATCGGACACGTATGGAACATGTTGGAAAGAGGGTTGCAAAATTCACCGCAAGCTCCACAAACATTGGAGGCTACTATAGGAGTTGTATCGTACTATAACATGAAGTCGACATTTAGCTTAGGTTTCTAGAACGCTGGTGCTTCAGCGCGCCGCCAAAGTTTCAATCACTAGGACTGCAAACTTTAACATTTTATATTTATACGCAGAACATTCATTATAAATTGTCGGGCGACAAGTTAAAATCTTCCGTCGTAACTTTAAAGCCAATATTTCTGTAGTGTCGTAGTTTTTCTGTTTCGAATGCCGCGTCAACGCGTCTCTCACTTACTTTAACTTTGTTAACACACTTCTGCTGCATTGGCGTTGTGCAACGAACAAAACTTTCAGGAAAATAAAGTTTTAATTGTCAAACTTCCAAATGCGTTTTCGCTGCTGATTTACCGTTGCAAACGTTATGATTGCTCGTAAAGATTTAGGACTGTGATATGAAAACGAACTTCGTTTTATTATTTCCCTATCGGAAACGGAGGATTGGATTTATTGAATCGTGTCAACTTCAAGGCAGCTCCAGTTGTTTTTTACGTCTTCTACCTGAAGATGGCCAACATACTATATAATCTAATCATATTTGCAAATCTCCCCGAAATAATTGTAAAGTGGAGTTTTATTAATACAAGTTGTTCAAGGAGGTATTTAAAACATGGGTACACCAATTTTTGTGGGAAAACTTTTTGGCGCTAGGATCTTCATTTCCTTTCTGCTACCTTGCCAATGCTCCTTTTTATTGGGTACCTTCAGGTGGAATACGTTAAGCCCAAATTAACATTACGACATTTTATCCTCTACTAGACTCAGCGTGCGACTCGGCTTGCGTGAAAGTGCTGGAAAGAACAGATGATTCGAAACTGATGCTGTGGTTTACATGTCGATAATCCCCCATGCTTGTCTGGTCAATAAGACACATGTATCGATAGATCTTCTTTACTGTAGTTAACGTTTCAATCACAAGCGCGATCCTCTTCAGTACAATGACATAAATAAATGAAATATAAATGTCATTGTACTGCAGCAGATTACCTTTGTGATTGAAACATTTACTATAGTAAAGATCTGTCAATTAATGTGGTTTTATCGGCTAGACAAGCATGGGGGATTTCAGGTCATTCGTTTTGCATTCTTGTGAAGGAGATTGGTTTCAAAGAAAGAAATGCGATATTTACTTTGGCAATGAACTTTTTTTATCCAACACCTATATGCAGCATTTGATGACTTAGAGAAGAGCCTCAGGCAACCAGAAAAATTGGAAAACGTATCTGGTCTCTACCGGATGATCTAACCTTATCTGAAAATATTGAACATTTTGTCTATTTTATCCTCAACTGAGCTCCTAACAATACAAGAAAAAACTATGGAAATTGGAATTTTAGAAAGCGTTTAATATACAAGTCGTTTCATGTACATTTTTCTTTTAAGCTTACGTCATTCAACTGCTATATAACCTTAATTGAATATCAATCAGTACTTAAATGAAAATAGCGGTATAGGTATTAAGATGTACAAAGAACTTAATGTTGAAGATGAAACAAAAGAAAATATACAGGGTGTTCCTTAATGATATGCGAATATTTAAGGGTGTGAATCTACGTGAAAAATTAATGTTAGTTTGTTTTATAAACTATGGCCCAAAAATGTCTCCTTACAAAAACTCGGGGTGTTGAAGTTTTAGGAAAAAAAATGGAAACTAATTAATATTTTAAGAACCGCTTCAGATATTCCACTGATGTTAAGTACGTAGTGAAAGTTAATAAAGTTGCATATTTTTCAATGCAAGAATAATTTGTATCTGTAACAGTGGCGTGCGTATGAGTATTGACTTCGATATTTTTGAAGAAAAAAATGGTACGACAGTGGTCTTTTGCCAAATAAAATTATTTTTGAATGCCTCGTTCAATTTAATACAAGTGATCTCTCCTGAATTGTTTCCCTTCGATGCACCATTTTTTACTAAAAAAATAAAAACCGTTCTATTGTCTAACTTGCAAAATTACTATTAATTTAATTGGAACAATTAAACACATAAGGGGTAATGAACAACAACTGACAACATAAACATAACATTCGATCCAATGAAATGATAACAAAAACTGTTGAAAATGACCCCCTTCACTTAGTATGCATGCTTCCGCCCTCCTTCTCATGGAATTGCGCACTCGTTGAAATATCCCTGGAGTATTTTTTATTTTATCACAAGCTGCAACTATTCTTTCTCTTAATTCCTCTACAGTGTTAATGAGACTCGTGTAGACTAGTGTCTTAAGATTGCCCCACAAAAAGAAATCTAAATTGTTGAGGTCTGGGGACCTTGGTGGCCATTCTTGGGGCCCACCTCGGCCGATCCAACGATTTGTCAATAATTACGAACCTTACACTTAAATGCGCTGGTGCACCATCATACATGTACCACATATTGTTTCTTATTATAAACGGAACATCATCAAGCAGCAAAGGCAACTGTTGTTGAAGAAAATTGAGGTCTATCCGTCAAGTCGTCCCGGCAAGAAGAATGGGCCAGTAAAGTGGTTGCCAATAATTCCTGCCCATACGTGAACCGAAAATTGGTGTTGGAAATGGGTTTCGTTTAAGGCATAGGGATTTTATTCTGCCGACAAATGTTATTGTGGAAATTCTGAATGACATTTCGAGAAAAATTGGCTTCGTCCGTGAACAGAATCATTGATTCGCATTGCGGATTCTGTGTAATTTTTTGAAGATACCACTGACAAAATGTCACACGCCTTGGAAAATGAATGGCAAGTAATGCCTGTACTCTTAAAATATGGTAAGGATATAACAAAAAATCCACTAAAATTCTCCAAACAATTTGATGGCAAATATTTGAGTTTCTAGCGATCTTCCTCGTACTAGTTTCAGGATGTTCGTCGACTTCGTGCAGCACTGCTTCCTCAATTTCAAACTTAGAGGTCTATCTTCAGATGTTCCTTTTCGGATTGAACCACTTTGTTTCAACAAGACGACGATGAATATTAGAAAAGGTTCGACTATCTGGCAAACCACATTCGGGATATCTGTGGTGATAAATCCGTCTGACCTGCTCACCATTATTGTCGGCAAGGCCATATAGGTAATGAATTTCTGCCATTTCTGCATTTGAATAATTCACCATTATTAACAAGATTGTAAAAACTAAATAATGAAAAAGATGTCACAGCGAACAGATTTGAATAACAGATACTTGTCAGATGTCGAAAGCCAGTGACATATTCCAGAGCAACTAGATATTTATTGCTAAATTGCATTCTTCAGTTATTACATTAATTTTCTCGGACAATAGAACGGTTTTTATATTTTTACTCAAAAATGTTTTAAATTGAACAAGGAATTCAAAAATAATTTTTATTTTACAGAAAACTATTGAGGTACCATTTTTTTCTTAAAAAATATCTAGGTCAATACCCGTACGCACGCCACTGTTAAAGCTAAAAATTATTTTTGCATAGAAAAAGATGCACTGCGTACTGAATATCAGTGAAATATCTGAGTCGGTTCTGAAAGTATTAATTAATTTCCATTTTTT